ACAGACACATACTAAACAGACAGACGCTATAGGACACACAGCACAGACACCTACTACACACACAAAACAGACACATACTAAACAGACAGACGCTATAGGACACACAGCACAGACACCTACTACACACACAAAACAGACACATACTAAACAGACAGACGCTATAGGACACACAGCACAGACACCTACTAAACAAATGCTACACATCCTGCATCACCAGCCATGCACGAATCTGTCCTCCTGTCCTGTCTCAGTTTACCACAAGGCTTTGGCAATCACACAATATACAATATGGTTATATGCAAAATTTTAGGTACATATTTAATAAATGACCAAAAATAACCAAAGATAGGACACCCAAGACCACTGCTTTTGACTACAACCAGATACACACAGCACCCAACTTCCCTGACCCCTACAGCACGGGGTGAGCCCACAGGAGGGCGGACTCATAACTCTTTCAGGTTCCAGGCCCCATGGGTAGAGACCTGACCACCAAACTCCCCCCCCCCAATGTAGGGGTGCCCAAACGTGTTTGTGCACTTTAAGTATTGTGAAACCCCCTCCTCTTTCTGTTGGTGTGTTGTATTGTGGTCCTGGGGAATTGCTATTTTGTATCACTATACCCCAGTTACTTTCTCATTGTAAAAAAATGTACATAGCTGCTGATAAAAGCATCTGCATAAATAAAAATAACACCCGCTGGACTTGGTTTGACTTCTGAGTGCTCACACCAACTCCACCCTTGCCACTAAACCTACTAATAGCAGGAATCCTCCCACGAATAGAACTTGCAATTATTAGTTACTAACTCGCTGAACCTCCAGATCCCCAACTGCCCTTATCTACACAAAGAGCGAGAAGTTTGTGGGTTATGTGCTGAATGAAGCAGCCGGACATACCTTGCTGAAGGGACGTCTTGACACTCGGGAACTGCATGTCCTGCACCGGAACCTCTTCTGAGTCACCTTTGTCAACTTCATCTCCAGCAAGGATGCTTATTGCTGAGTAACAGAGCTCCTGTTAAGTGGCAAGTGAAGAGCAACTTACTGGGGAATTTCAACACGCAAGAACTTCATGTAAGAGAGACTGACTTCCTGATTTTTAAACTCTAACAGTTTTCATCAGCAGTGCACTTTCTACACTGTAGGCTATTTCAGAAGGCACGATCAAGGCGGCATTTTTACTTCTAATACCATATACACTTATCACATTAGCCTATGGATGACACAAATGAAAAAACACATTTACCAATATAATCAGTGCGCATGCTTAAAAATAAAATAAAAAATAAAAAAAAGTAAAAGTAAGTTATGTGCGTAGCAAGAAAGAAGCAGAACTTTGCAGTCTTGTGAGACCAGCGGAACTTCATTCCTTCTCTACCTGATGCGTCTCCTCCGTCTGTGCGCTGCCGTCTTGTAACGTCCTTCTGACGGGATTCCTGAGTGGGGCGAATCGCCACACCGCAAAAATAAATAGACAGACACAGGAGGCAGACAAAAGGATAAGACACATCTTGCTGGAGAATGACTTCTGCTCCGTCCTAACCCTCAGGCTCCGCGTTATCAAAGCACTTCTAAACACGCCCCCAGAGAGTCTTTCCGGAAACGGGAGGTGGGATAGCCCATGAACGTCGTTCTTTAGTCTCCCTATTTTTTGGAAGAACAATTATTCTAAATCCATTTACTGATTTGTCTCATATATCTATTTCCCTGCACATTTCGGCAAATTTCATCGTAAACACCGGTGCCTGAAGTGTGGAAATGCAGGCGCTGCGTCTCCCCTCGTCATTCAGTATCTGGATACCGGTTAGTAACCGGCACACTTCACATATCAAATCCCAGAATCGCCCATGTCATCGTTGTGATCGAAAACTAAAAAACAAAACTATAAGAGAATATTTTCGATAAAATAAAATTAGGCAATAAAATAAAAAATATGAATAAACGAAAACAGCCTGGCCATCTGGTGTATCGGGCAAGATATATCAGGAGACCGCCCTCCCACAGAGCGAGTCTCATGTAGAACCAGCTGAAACACGTCGTCATTAAGTTTCATTCTGAGTCTATTCCCAAGATGGTACGTGTGTATGTCAGAGTCCCCGGGAATTATTGCCTCGATATTGTTCGAAACGACCATATCTGAAAACTTTTGCAAGATGAAGAAACCAAAGATTCGATTTTCATGCAATTCATAAATCAAAGCATACTACAGGGGGGGGGGGGGGGGGTATTCAATCGTTCACGATCACAATAACGTCTTCCTTATTGTTTCACTGTAGCCTTAGAGGCGGTTTCTGCCGGGTACGCGCCACACTGCCAGTGCCTGACTCACCTCCACGGCGTTACACCGGTCCTTGCGTAACTGGGTCCTTAACTTCACCAAGCGAATCATGACGTTTAACATTGTATGCCATCATTTTCAATGGGGAGACTACATAAAAAAATACATTAAAAGTAATGGGAGCGTGAGAGGCGATTAACAACTATAAAGATTTAGGTGAAAAACATCGGTTTCAAAACGACAAAGCACGAAAGTAACTAGTCCAATTTCGGCGAAGACCGGAAAGCGATACATGTTCCGTGGTCCTGGCCGCTAGGTGGCACACAAGTATCATCAGCATCTTCCAATTTCCATGTATTTAATTTTACGGTCTGTAAAAAGTAAAATTACACTTTATATAAATCTGTCCGGCCTAGGGTTGCAAATTTTCCAGTGATGTTACATGAAAATTTTAGTATGGGATTTTTGGGAATTTATACTGCCCAACCAATGTCACCTTGGGTTAAGGAAAAGTTTTCGAACATGACCTTTGAAATAGAAAATGAACCAGGCCATCATCAAAGGACATCTTGGCAGCAACTTGATGTAAGCGAAGACTCTTTCCTGAAGCCCTGTCAGTAGCAGCAACAATTCTTACAAATCCAACATCCTGCCTCTGAGCACAACTGTTCTCTTTGGCGACATTCACACAGAAGTCTGCAACCTGCTCAGAAACGTACAGCTGGAGAACTGGTGGCAATTAGACCATATTCAGGGCTCTTTCTGAAGATGTGGATTCTGACAGTTTCAGGATTTATGACTTTGAGCAGATTCCCCAGATTGCAGTGTGTTTGTGTTTAATAATGATAGAAAGGGAAATGTGATTGTCTCTAATTAAATCTAAATATCTTGAAAAATCTCCATGAGCATGCATATGTCTTTATGTCTGACAACTGCCCAATAATCCCCATAAAATGTCATACACCCAGGCCTGGAACACTGCCTGACCTCAGGATTAGCATGTGAGGAGCAGACGCAAAAACTTCTGCTAGCTACTTAGACCGTTTGAAGCATCTAGTTGCATGGTTCCGACTATATAAAATTGCTAACATTTTTAGGAACTTGGTTTTTGGGAAATGTACCCCTGTATAGTCATAACCACTACAGGGTCTGAACACAGGTGAGAAAATAAGGTTAAGTATTTAGAAGCATAACTTAATTACTCGTGATGATGTTAATCCTAAACATGCCACTCAAAGACCACATCAAATCCCCAATTAGAACAGCTTCCCTCAGCATCTGCCGAGTTATATAGGAAGTTATATGTGATCGTGCCATTAGACCCACCTGTCAACCACTTAGTTTGGTCTGTAAATCACTTGTAAAACCAGCTGCCCCAGAGCTTGCACACTTTACTTTGGCGGAAGGCCGACACCATCTCAGTTTACCCGCTCGGCACTGCAGGCAGGTGCTTGGAGCCAAAGCATCCTTCAGTCAGCCAAGTGGGACAGCCATTACCCTCAGCTTACCAACATCTCCCCAGCTTGTACGAAAGCACCGTAACCCACAGTAAGACTGACGGGCACTTACACCACACCTGGAAAACATCACAAAAACGACAGGAGCAGAGCGAGATCGTTTGGTTCATCCAGCAGGTTATTTATTTAAGTGAAGGTTAAAAACAAGCTGACTGCATGACGGGTAACGCTTCAGAACCTGACTGGCTGGGGGAATGACAGTGACAACGGGGAGAGAGACCAGGTGCCCCCACCCCGTACAGGAATACTAGCTGGTCCCTATAAATAAGGTGGAGCCTGACAGTCCGTGTGAATGTACAGATATATGTTACAGTCGCAACATTAATGATAGTGGACAGCTTAGATGACCTTCTTCAGCTCATCATACAGGACCAGCACGAAGGCGCCGCCCATGCCTCTCAGGACGTTGGACCAGGCCCCCTTGAAGAAAGCCCGGCTGCCCTCATCGCGGGCTATCTTCCGCCAACAGTCCATGGTGCCCTTGTACATGATGTCGGCTGAGGACGAGAACACAGAAAATCACGACCAGGCCCTTCCACTGGACACTGTAGGACCTCAAAAACAAAAAAAGTGACAGGGAAGAAACAAACAACCCCGAGGCCACTCACCTCCTTTACGGCCAGACTGCATCATCATGCGCCGACGGACAGTGTCGAAGGGGTACGAGGCCAGGCCGGCCACGGCGGTGACGGTCTGAGCGATCATCCAGCTGACGAAAATGTGGGTGTTCTTGGGATCTGGCAGCATACCTGAGGAACCAGAGAAGCGTTGTGAGTGCCTAAGGCAGAGGAAACTACCAGACGATATCAGATTTCACAAGGGGAATCCTTTCATCGGCGCTCGGTGTCTCGTGACATCTAGACTCAGTCAAGCCCTGAGCACCACAGAAACCTGTCATAAGGATGAATCACAGCAGCATAAACAATGCAAGCTGAACGCTACCATTGACCATTACCAGCATCCACAGAAGGGATGCTAACCTGGGCATACATACCTTTAGCCGTGTCATAGATGCCAAAGTAAGCGGCTCTGTAGATGATGATGCCCTGGACAGAGACATTGAAGCCCTGGTACAGACCCTTCAGGCCATCAGACCTGGAAATCTTCACCAGGCAGTTGCCCAGACCACTGAACTCCCTCTCTGCACCAGCCTTGCCCACATCAGCTGCCAGGCGGGTTCGGGCGAAGTCGAGTGGGTACACGAAACACAGGGAGGTGGCACCAGCCGCCCCACCGGAGGCCAGGTTGCCGGCGAAGTACCTCCAGAATTGGGTGCGCTTGTCTACACCATCCAGGAAGATCTTCTTGTACTTATCCTTGAAGGCAAAGTTGAGGGCCTGGGTGGGGAAGTACCTGATGACATTGGCCAGGTTCCCTCTCCAGAAGGACAGGAACCCTTGCTCCTTGGGGATGCGGACCACACAATCCACAATGCCCTTGTAATGCTTATCTGCTGTGATCTGCTTGCTGGCATGCTGTACCTATACGCACAAAAAAAGATTAAAGGATTACTCAGAATCCGCCATGCTTGTCGGAGAATCGAACCCTGCGAAGAGCATAGCTGTCAAAGTAAACGCAACAGGCAGGTGAAGGATCGACGTTTGATGTAAAAATCGTTCCGGACCGGATGTAATAGCATGTGTAAGTCCTTGAATGAATACCATCATCCGGCGCCACACACCTTGACTTGTGCCCTTAAAGACAAAATGGTGGCCGAAGACATTCCGGCAAGGACACGTGGAGCCGACGGTAACGGAGCGATCCCACCGTCTCAATCACCTCCGAAAACCTCAATGGGGACCACGGTCACCGCCCACCCCCATATCGGGTTTAGTCAGAGCTCATAACGAAAGGAAAAGACCGTAGCCATCACGGCGTAACCCAGCGCCAAAAAAACCCATCCCGACCAACCTAGGCCGCCGTATAGGAGCGGCCGCCCCGCTACAATGCCGAAACTTCCCGTTGCCGCGACCTTGGTCTCTTGACCTCCACATCGACCGGTCGGCTAAGCCGTGGAGCAGGCCATCCGGACCCAACCGGACAAGCAAGCGGGGAAGCCGCTCCGATTGGCCGGCAGTTCGCAGTGCGCTGCTGTGAGGCCAGTTAATCCTGTCCCCTCCGCATTCTCACCTGCAACAGCAGCTTCACTCTCTCGATGGGCGCGACAGCAGTCTTGGAAATGGCGGCGGCTATGCCGCCGGCCAGGAAGTCCTTGGCGAAGGAGACAGCTTGTTCACTCATGGCGGGGCGGGACTGCGGCGTCGCTGCGTCGAAATGGCCGACCTCTGCGCGCAGAAAGGCATTTAAGTTGTGGGTTCTCGCGAGAATAGCGTGCAAAAAGCTGATTGGATGGACAGTGCCGAGGCGGAGCAATACGTCATTCATGGGGCGCCGTGAGTCACTGCATAGCTACCGGTTTGTCCTTCTACTCCCATTTAGGGCGTTCGGTTTCTGTCACGTGCCTTTTAACCCTCTCCGCGGCCCAACGACAAAATGAATATATAGTGAAAACACCGTTTATCCACATTTTACCACAAACAGAACCTTGTCAAAATTTTATTCTGCGCCATATTCATTAAAGAACATGGAACACGAAAGAACATGGCCGTAGGCCAACTTAGTTCCGGACAAAGAAAATATTTCTGTGCACAAAGGGTTGGGAATACGCCTCCAACAACGTAAGGCTTGCCCTGGTCCGGAGACTAGAATATCCAGATCGTCTGCATGATACACATTATTGTTATTATATATACACACACATATATTTTCGTCGACATCGTACTATATACTTATTATTAATATTTAAACGCTTAAACTAAAGGTTGATCGCCCTATTTAATGTAGTATTTTGTGCGGAGGATCAAACGAACGGCTAATCGATGTTGATGCACTTTCATTTTTATTTCTCTTTATTTTAAGGCAAAAAATAAAACGTGTGTGCTTTTCAGATGGGTTATATCCGTACTATAGTCCAGACCCAGAAAAGGTTGAATTTCTCTCACCGGCGCTGTTATATAAAATGAGAAGTGCCAAGGATACCAGTTCTAAAGAACAATCAAAGCGACGCACTGCAGCTTCAAAATGCTCCACTAACAATAACGACTTACTTCATTAAATTTGACCATTTCTCCATTTACGGTTCTGGAAGAAAATACTTTTATAGTTCTTTTACAGCATGCTCCAATCACAACACAGAAAATCACCAGTTAAAAGGAGTGTTTAATACTGAAAATATTTGGATTCATGTTAAATATACTCAGAAGTATGATTAACATACTGCAAATTATAAATTAGAAACCACCGTAAAGTATGAAATAACACATTAGTAACCATTGTATTACATACATTTGTTTCACACATGTGATGTGGCACTTCCTGAATAAAATGTACTTTGATCATGATACACAAATATATATATATACACACACAAGTTAATGTGTAGCACAAAAATGACAAAGTACAAGAGTTTTGCATCACGTTTAGATATCAGTGGCTTCCTGCAGATGATCAGCATCAGATTGGGGTCTTCAGGAGGATCAGCAGACATTTCATGCACGGCAGGGAGGCCAACTGCTTAATCTCCAGCCACTATTAAGGCACCATGTGTGGAAGTGCTATACTTATTTGTCCTAAAGCTGCACTTATCTGTTTACTGGAATCCCTCATTGTCCAAGCTGGTTCACTGGTGCACATGTTTAGATGATGCGTTTAATTTTAATGGTGCGCATTGTGGACAAAAGGAAACCGACTGTTTATCCCGCTGGCAGTATCGAGATGCCTCACCACCGGTCGTCCATATTGTTCTGCGGTGAAGAGAAGCCCCTGTTACTCAGGTACCTCTGAACTTCCTGAAGCTCGTTTGGACCCAGACTCTGGTCCACTCCTGGTGCTGGCTGGAAGCTCAGAGGGGACACGATGTATCCGTTGTGATACAGGCAGACCTGTTTGCAGGCCTCGAAACATGTGAAGAGCAAGCCGAAATAGGGGACGATCTGAGAAGACACAGAACACCGACTCAGCCTCCTTCCACCTCTGAATCCCATCAGTGAGAAGAGACCTCAGCCATTCAGAACTGGGATCTCCTGTGTGTGAATCTAGCATCAGGCTGACAGGCAGCTGATCTGATATGTTCAGTACTGCGGAGTTAAAATCTCAGCTACTGACTGGCTCACAGAATCACTCATGTTCTCTGTGGAAAGACTTCACGATGATTTAATCAAGACCCCCCTCCACCTCCCTGAAATCTGCCTAGCTGAGGTTAAGTACTGCAGACCTCAGGACATTCTTTTCTCAAGCTGAAATAAAACTTCCAGCTCAAAAAATATCTTTATTAGGGCCTTAGACATTAGACAAATTGAATATTTGAATTTTCAGGCACCGAGTTTATCATCAGAGAGCGACTTGTGGCAGCTTCCAAGTGATCATGAAACTCCACTTAGTTCTATACATTCAAGCATACAGTCAGCAAGGAAACGTTTGCATCATCAATATCTGGTTTTCAAGCTGTTGTGAAGCCAAACAACAAACAGGATGTTTTGCTTTCTGTTTTTATCTGTCTCAAATCAGTTGAGGATGTCGTCATACATAAACCCTGGCACAAACGCTATGGCAGACTGCATAGCTCAGGTGAGTCCCTCTGGGTACTGTTTCGACATGCGGCAGCCTAATGGGTGTGGCCAGTGAATTAACACTCCTCTGGATGACACCTCAGGATGCCAGAGGGGACAGCAAAACAAGCTCCCTAGAACTGTTTCTAGGACTCCCAGACAGTCCCCATTTTAGCTCCATCATAGCTTGCAGCACCCGAATCAGGTTTTCTGTGCTCTTGATTGGCTGGGAGCTAGGAGGGTGCAATAATGTGGACTGTCAGGGGGTCCCCAGGAACTGGGTTGAGAAAGACTGCCCCAAAAGTTTCTCTATAGCTGGTTTGACTGCATAAGTTAAAGAGGAACATCACCTTTAATTAATTTGTCTTGACTAACAAATTTAGGTAAGTTTTTTTTTTTGGCTTTAAAATGGAGCTGAAGAAAAATTAAAGCAATATACCAAAATATATTGGACATGCAGGACACTCGAGAGTCATACCTTGGCTGTGTTGGCCGTGAGTCCGTTCCACAGGGATAGGAAGCCATTGCTTCGGACTGTCTGTCGGAAACAGTCCAGCATGCCGCTGAAATGGATGTCAACACCACCACCCTGCGGCAACAGGGCACTCTGAGCCTGTAGAGAGGAGGCCAAATGAGGGAAGCTCTGAGACCCTGGGGAAAAACTCACCAAAGGCCTACAGAGAGCAGACATGGCAGCACTGTGAGCAGCAAATCTCCTTAGTATTTATTAATAGCACACTTTCTTATTCTCTGTCTCTTCCACTTATTATTTTGTATATCTGTGTATTTTCTGTCTTGACAATATGTTTAAATTGCATAATCAAGCCACCACTAAAACACATTCCTTGTACTTTTTTGTATATGGCAAATAAAAGGATTCTGATTCTAACCTTGTAATTGTACGCTGGGCTCATTTATATTTATATGGAGATTCACAAGGTCTTTCTGCTTAAGTACCTCTGAGAAACTGCATCTTTAATAAGCTGAATCAATACTGTGATATAAGAAACTGCGTGAGCGAAAAAAGGAACATGAACACAGAGATAAGAGAGCTAAGAGGGGAAGGTATCACAGGGGATGACATGGAGTTCCCACACCGAACTTTCTGTACACTGTGGAAGTCTCCAGTTACATTACAGTCAGAATTAGCAGATCCCACAGTCCTCACGATACCTCACACATCACTCTCAGCAGAGGCAAAGTGAGCAAAGCCTGCTCCAATTGGCCGCTAGTCTCCGTTCTCTGGGTTACTGCGAACGTCTGTCACAGGACATTACTTCCTCATTTAAACCCACATATTCAAAGCTGAGGTCCATGGGATCAGCTGAGCTGAGCTCATCACCATAAACACTAAGCCTAATTCTTTGACTGAAAAACGTTTCAATTCTAAGTTTTTAACATTTGAGGAGGACATAATTTCACTTAACTGATTCAGGTCAGAGAGACTAAACCATTCTGAACAAAAGTGAGGTATGTCCTGGGAACTGAACAGGTAACCTTATGGTCACGAGTCGCTGTCTTTAACCGCTCTTCTGCCAGCTGGTTGTACTAAAATGTTTCCCTTTAAAAACATCTAGCTACCCAATTTTAAACCATTAATTTAAAATGTTCAACTTTTATCATCTGTAAGTGCAGCTGCTGAGTATGCAGTAAAGTTGATTGCTGTCCATTTGTCATTCAGTTAAACCCAAGGTTAGGTCAAAACAGAAACTTGGTGGTACTGTTAGAGATGAAGTATGCCAGGGCCTGATAAACATAAACTGCTTGAATTTAGTAGGATATAATGTTAAACACAACAGCAGCACAGAAGCAAGATCACGTTTTATCAGTATTTCAGGTCTTATGACAAGTACCTTCATCTTAGAATTGTAAACTGGATTTTGTATCCACGATACCACCCAATGGTCATTCTGGGTAATACAACACCTCAGGAAACTGATCATTAAAAGGCCATACATTTTTAAAGATTAAAATATTCTTTATAACTACAATATAACTATAATATCATTTAACAAAAGAAGAGGTTGTAAGCTTATAAGAACCAGTAAAAGCAACAAATATTCAGATATTTTTAAGCGATTATGCACCTTTTGTGTTGCCAAAACGGTTTTGCTGGCCGAGTACACACTCACCTGCATCTTCCTCTTGACAGTCTCAAATGGGAAGGACAGGGTCTGGGCCAGACCCGCCGCAAGGCAGCCACTGATGAAGTTCTGCAGGGGCGTGAAGCGAAAGCTGGGCTCCTGCCACAGCCAATCCAGGTTGACATAGACCATATAGCAGCCCAGGGAGAAGGGGGCCGCCCCTGAGATGGATCAGAGAGCCCCATATCACACAGAGACCGTGACACGCTAGCATCTACACAACAAACATGACACCCAACTGCTGTGTATCTGCTACCCAGCAAATACAGCTTCTAGGAGGAGAATGTGAACATATGTCACACACACACATTCTGGTCAACCTATATCCTCACATTTAACTTTCATTTATTTAGCAGATGCTTTTGTCCAAAGTGACGTGCAAGTGAGGATCAGAGAGCAATGTCAGCCATTCCCAGGAGCTACTGGTTAAGGGACATTTAGTTGGTTCACTGTCTAAGCAGCAACTGACACCTTTTATTATATATTGTTGAGCCTGCTTGTGCATAGCGCACCCCCTCTCATGGCTCACAGGTTTCTGGCGTATGCCCAGCTCTCTCCTTCCTCCGCCGTACCTATGACTGTGAGGGAGAATCCGCGATAGAGGGCGCACAGGCCCTCATCGCGGTAAACGCTGGACAGTACGTGAAGCGCGCCTCTGTACGTCGGGTCCCGCATGTTCTGGACTACCAGCCGCGTCTCCGCCACCTCCAGCGGGTACGACACCAGCGCAGCCACGATACCCGCCAAGCTCCCGGCGCAGATGGCCCTCCACTGCGATATGCATCCTAGTTCATCCATGTGCAAGTTTATCAATCTGCGGAGCGGGAGCAAAGCACGCTGGGTATTACAGACAATTATTCATTGTGGCAGCTCATCAAAGCAAAAACTAAAGGAAGCAATATTTATTAGACATTCAAACCAAACTCCTGTATGAGTAATTTTCAGAAACGTTTCTTGGCTATTATTAGATACAGATATCTCACCGTTTTTTGGGTGACTATGGGGGCGGTTAAAATGCTTTATACTACCGAGTGTGTGCCGAGATAGCTGAGTATTTCTGTATTTACCTATTGCAGTGTTTAATTTGCAAAAAAAAAACAATGTTATTACAGACGCAAGCTTTCCCAACTTGAGACAGAAGCAGAATCTTGTGAAGATAATCCACCTCTAAGCTACCATGTCCCTCAAGATAACGATCAATAAAGTGAGTAACGACAAAAACACCAAGATATCATTTAGAAACTGCAATAGAAATGGAAACGGGAACTGAATGCTAGCAGCAGAACGGGTGTTAAATTGCGAGAGACGATAAATATGCAGGGGCGAGGACGTGAGCTCACATAAGCGCGCACATCGCGCTTTGCTATGATGACGTAAGGCATCTGCCGAGGCCTCGCATTACCTGATTGGATGCGACGGGGAGGCGTGTGCGCGGACGGGCGCATGACAGGCTGTGAACGAGCGTGACGTTTAGCGGAAATGAATGTTGAAAACAATAACAAAAGCCTCTTTATAATAAAACAGTAGCCTATCAGACGGGGGAATTTCCTTAAATACCGCAGAATTACAGCCCATGACATTGTATTTTTTACAAACTAATGTATACAGCCAGCTAATTTTAAAACACAGAGACAGTACTCTAAACTATTCGAGATAAGCATTCACACGCCAAGCTACTAACGAGACAGCCCTCCGAGGGACAACTTGACAAGTGACTTGTTTTTACGAGCGGTAACTTTTACCCCGGTGAATTAATACTAGTGACAATGCAAAGGAAGTAATAAATAGAAAAATAAAGAGAAAAGTGACAGCACGGCGGCAGAGGCAGAGCAGCGGAGCTCTTACTTCCTGTAGGCGGCCAGATGCACGGCGCTGTACGGGAACAGGCGCAGACAGGATACCAGGTTTCCCTTCCATAGGGCGCGGAACCCCTCGCTGCAGGACACCCGGGCAAAGCTGTGTACAAAGCCCGCTCTGCAGTGAAAGCTCCCCACCTGATTTAGGATCTTGACGACCTCCAGCGGGGCCGTGGCCGTCTTGCTGAAGATCCCAGCGAACCCGACGCACATGAAGCCCTGGAGGCCCGTCAGACGATCATCTCGTCTCACGGTCGCCATCGTTACCCGGCGGGTATCGGATCGTGGAGACCCCAGCCGCGGTAATCACACCGTGCTGGGCATTCCTAGTCCACAGGATTACTGAGTCTGCGCAGAGATCCTGCTCAGCGGGCAAGCCAAACCTCCCAGGCTGACAGCCAATCAGGCTCGCCTGGCGGGGAGGGGCTTTGGTGACGTGTGGCGAACTATTTTAGAAAATTTGAACAGAGGTTTAATTAAATAAATCGAAATAAATTGAAAAACACACAGTTTCACACAATGCACACATCACAGTTTTTGCATCATGTGATTGTCAGGTGAGAGCACGTAACACTAAAGCGCTCTTTACTCTGTCTTCTCATGCGGATTATATCATGTTACACATTGCCGCCTGTCTGAGTTTAGCAAACGGGCCGCCTTTCCATGGAAATTTGGCTTTAGATAGTTATTGTTATTGGCAGTCAGACGCCATGGGAGCGTATCTGGTTTACTTAGCAGCGTGGTTATTCAAAGCGCACATTCATCCGTGAAATACCCATCACTACTGCGCCAGTTAATCAGAAGCCAGCACCTTCCAGAAGGGTTTCCTCGTAGGCTGGAACATTAATTTGTAATTTACATGGTTTTTGTGTCTGTTACTAGAAGACCCATTGTGATGGCAGTCCACTAGAAACCCGTCAAACAGTGAAAGTTGACAAACTAGCGAACACACATAAAAAGATAAAGAGTAATATTCTGCACCACGCGACTAAATGAACACTGTTTACAGCACACTCTGTTACTGTAAAATCTTTAATGCCTGAACTGGAGTTATGGTAATATAGTTTATGATTTATTTAGAGTGGGGATATTTTTTAGAAAAAAAGAAAAAAAATAACAGAAGGGGGCGCTCCAGACCAATTAATGCAACACTACGGACTGAGGAAACCACGTGATGATGCCTTTGAAGAACTAGAAATGCTTAAGAATTCAGTGGTAAATTTTGGAGTTCATAACTACATTTTTTTTTTTTAAAAAAGGCAGCATGTTCAATGTGTTTAGTAAACTTATCACACAGTACGTTATTTGAATATATAAATATATATATAAATATAGTATTACTGTCAGATTTTGTTTAAACCAACCAGTTGAGTATAAAGAGTCACAATCACAGAGTACTCAATTGGTTGGCTGAAACAAAATCTTTGTCTAGATTTTTACTTTCTACGCTTGAACTATCCACCCTTGATCACCGTTGTGCCCTTGAGCTCTGCGGGTGCTGCACACTGGCTGACTCCACACTCTGATCCAAACATCATTTCTCTCATGGAGAGCACAATGGGACATGCAAAAGCCAACAATTCCAATGTGCCTTGTACAAATGACACATAAATACAGTATCTAAAGTAAAAATGTTTTTCTGTCTGCATTCAAAGGAAAATGTCCTTTGATCAATGTTTCCCAGTTAGGCCTTTTGGAGAACTGCAGACAGTCCAATTTTTTGCTCGTTCACAGCTCTGCAAAAATATGGCCTGTTTAGGAGGGAGCAAAAACATGGACTGTCTGGGAATCCTCTAGGACGGGACTGGGAAACAGTAGCTTAGATGATGGCACCCCAACCATGCTTGTGTGTTAGGGTGCAATACATATTTCTTGGGATAGTGACGTACATAATGTAAGAGACTGAATGCTGTGTCCTTCACATCCCTCCCTCTGCTTCTCTTTCTCTCTCTCAGCAGGGTCTTGTAGCTCCTTTCCTGTCTAGGATAGTGTTTGTTTTCCGCCTGTGTCTCCCTGGCAGGGGGCTCCCTGGCGGCCCCCGCCCCCTACTGGGCTGACGACCTCAGCTCCCTGTGAAGAGTCCACCTCCTGTGTAAGGTTGGGCCACTTGGCTTCGCTCACAAAGGCTACTGGAATAACAGAGCCTGTGAGGGGAAATGACAGCCTTTTCAAAAGGGGCTCCCATGGGCCAGATTCAGGCTGGGGGTTGGGAGGCAGGACCTGCCATGCTGCCTTTTGCTGAGGCCGTGCAGCTTGGACAGCAGATCTCCTTGATCAACTGGAAGCTGAGAGGGACCCTGAGGGTCTGTGTGGTTGTGTTTATGGTGCACGGTGGGGCAGGCTGTCAGATGGGCCTGGAGGGTAGGCCTCCACTGTGCCACGCTGCACCTAAAGCGCAGTGAGATGGGAAAAGATAAAGATAAACGAAGAGCTGCTGATTGTAGGAGGGCCTTCACTATCAGGGAGTGTCCGCCGTGTCACCCCGGTGGAAGGATGTCGCAGTGGGAATGGGAGGTGTCTCTGCTCCCGGGGGCCGTAAAAGGCCCCTGCCTCCTTTGAAAGTTCCCTTTGATCTCCTTGTCGTGTGCATGTGGTCCCTAATGTGAAACAATGGGGTGGCGTTTTACCCAAAGGACACTTTGTCATGAGCTGTGAACCTGATCAGCCACTAGAGGGCGATCTACAACGCTTCACTGGCAGGTTGCCGCTATGCTCTTACAGTGGGTGTATTTCAAGGGAATGGGAGAGGGGCAGTTGAGATATCACCTCATTATCTTGTTAAAGACACCATAGAGAAAAGGGGCAGGAGGGTGATGGAAATCAGAGGCCCTGGAGTGCGAACATGCTGTCCTACACGAGCATCCTTCTGCTGAGCTGATACTTAAACACAGGGGTTACACCAGCTGCTCTGTACATTTTACAACTCCAGAGCAATACAACAAAAACTAAAAAAAACCGTTTTATTTTATATGGGTATTGTACATATTACGTGGTTAAATAGTACTAGAATTTTTTTGAAACAACATGTAAATGAAACTTGTGTCGAAAAGGCTTATCACTACAATCACCAGCGTAATGTCCCTCGAAAATGCACTAAAGTATGAAGTTACTGACTGATTGCTTCTTACACACGTCTTACTTCTAGCAGAGTCAAGCTAGTAAGTGAAGTTCTGGTAGCAGCACTGTAATGAAATAAGTAAAAGAAAAAACAGGGGACAGAAATCAAAGTGTCAGGTTGGAGTATCTTATGCACTCCAGAAGTTAGAGTGACCAATGACATAATGACATAACATTAAAAGTGATTAAAAAAACATGATGAAAACATGCACAACACAGCCATCATATGAAACTGTTCAAGTCTTTTACTAAATTTTGGGACATTATGATAAAAGGTTATCATGGCAGGAAATGGAACTGCGCTTCGGCAAGGTGCAATTTGGACGTAAGGAGGGCTCTGTCTATATCATGCCCTGTTAGTGCAGCAGGGACATTTCATTTGAAGTTGGTGATATCAGGTCTTTCAGCAGGGCCCTTCCTATGGCCAGTCCATGTACTGAACTACTACAGTACTGAATGTCCACCATGGCCAAACTGGTAGCTTCAATATCTAATTAACTGGGCGTGTGTAGGTTTGGGTTTGGGGGTGTGTTATTTGTGTTCATCAATAATCGACAGGCTTCAGGCAGCTGCAGCCAGTGAATCGATATCCCGCCCAGAGCAGATGCATGTAGACGACCACCTCAGAAACCCGACAGCTACTGTATCCTTTGAAGGGCAGCGTCAGCTCTGGCCCAGGCACCGTTAGTGTCTTGGGTCGCTTCAAAAGCCTTGGCTTGTTTGATATTCAAGCCTGACACCTCGAGCTGAGCCCAGGACAGGTAAGGGGAGGGGGGGGGTGGTGGTTGACATGGACCTTGTCTGGCCAGAGGGCAGATATCTCAGCGGTGGGTCACACTGGAGCATCAGAGCCCCATAGAGATGCCCTGGGGGGGGGGGGGCAGTGTCACGGCTCTGCATCGGTGGGACGTGCTGGTGGTTACTGCCGCTGCACCTCGAGAGACACGTTCAGTGGCTGAGCAGACCGAGCTGTGTGAGAGTGTGACATTATCAGTGTGAGCATAATTACGCTGAAGGTAGGGGCATGTGCCACAGACCACAGAGTGTCACAGAGTGTCACATGGACTGGCCGTGGGGGGATGAGGGGATCCGTGAGGCCTGTGCTCACTCAGACCGCTAGCAGGGTCCCCTCCTTGTTCTTTGCTGGGAAGCAGATCCACTTACTCCTTCCGGGTCAGGACAAGGTCACGACTTTGCACCGGCATGTGTCTGTGCATGCAGCTACCTTGGAAAAGCTTCATCTCAGTGAGTTACAGCTACACAGTATAAGTGACGTCACTGAACATGTGTAATGTGAATATAAAACCAGGTATGCCAGAAATCAAAATAAATACATATACTACAATTTAAAGTGTGTTACATTTATTTTTGCCACAAATTATTCAGTATGAATATTAAAACCATGTCTGTTTAGTAGCCTGAAAACTTATCCATCCATTTTCCATACTTGCTTGTCCTATGCAGAGCCTTTCTCAGAGTGGGCACAAGGCAGGGATAGTATATAAAATAATTGTAGTTTTGTGAATTGATTTTCTATATTTGTGTTTGGTTAGTAAATAATCTCTGTTATGAGTGAGGCACATACCGGCGCCTAATTTCAATGACTGTTCAAGTATTACTGAGTAGAGTTGTAGTCCATGTGGAACACGCACAGACCTGAGTGACCTTCCGCTCTGTGGATGTTTCATCCCCTGTGAAGTGTGAGGTGGGCGGAGCTTGCCTGGTGAGGGGACCGGCAGAAGAAGCCCGGGTGACGCGGGTGACGTGTGTGCCGCGGAATGCGGGGAGAGCAGGACCCGCTGGACGGGGCCCTTCTGGTGCCCACAGCCGGGCGACCCCCATCAAAGGGGGCCTCGTTAAGCTGATAAGCAGAGGAAGAACGACGTTGTGGGGGGGGGGTCATTATCTGACAAGGATCACTGAGGCTTTGATCTGCAGGCCAGAGAGTGGCCTCATGGAGGGTCCTGCTGGGCGGACGAGCATGGCGACGTGGCGGGTATGAACAAGCGGGCCGCGGGAGGGACGGGGTCCAACTGGGGTCCTGACCGGGCAAACACACCAACACAGATACACACAGATTATGTAGCTATATCTTTGAGGGGACTCTTTCTATGGGCATAATCCCGATCCTCTAACCCAAACTATGACAACCTTAATCTCTACCCAGCCCTGACCGTAACCATAAGTAACCAAGCAAAATTCAAGACTTTTGGCTATTTAATTTTTTTTTATTGCATTTACAGATTTTT